CGAGAAAGCGTGCGTAGAATTTGGTGATGAATGAATGGCTTTCTTGGCTTTGATAAACTGATAGAATCATATAAAAGACGGTAACAAAAAGGCAAGGGCTATGAATTATTATTATTTTTTGGATGCTCATCATATTTTTTTATTAAAAGTAATTATATTTAAATTTAATGTCAAGCATTAAATGTAAAAACATTTATTAACAGGAATTCAAACCTAAGTTTTAAGGATTAATATCTGCCGTTAAATCTAATTCTCATGTATTATCATCATTATCGTTATCATCATCAGTGTCTCAAATTTCAATCACCACTTGCAAGCCCACATCACTCATGTTGTCATCATCCATCTTCTCTGCTGCATCATTTTCTCCTCACTTCTGCGTCACCTCTTCTCTGATTTTTTTCATTTGCTAACACTTTCATCCATCTACCCTTCTCAATGTTTATTACACGACACTTTTAATTATTTTATATATTTTAAAAAATTAATTTTTTAATATTATCAAAAAGTAAAAAATACTTTTATTTTTACTATTAGCTTTAAATAATAATATAATTATATTAAATATCTTTACGTTAATCAAGAAAGGATAACATTAAAAAAATAATTTAATTATTAAAAAGTTTCCTATATTTTAGACTAATTTTTTTTAAAAAGTTTCTTATAAATAGGATTGAAAGGAGTATTATTTAAATAATTTTTAACTTTTTTAAAATTAAGATAATTTCCTCTTATATATGTTATGATTTATATGGCTCTTGTGAATTCATCTTTTGCAATGGATCATGAAGAAAAATCATGTTCATGAATTTTAAAAAATAAAAATTACTATTAATATTTTTTTCAACAATTACTATTAAATAAGTGAATAATAACACAAACATAATGAATTTACATAATATAACTATATACTGACTTTCTCTTTAGTTTTCATTTATAATTTTTTTTATATTCGAATATAAGTCGCTTTTGTAAAATTTATGACAATTATGTTTCAAAACTTAAATTAATTATAGTTAGGTTCCTTTCAAAAAATTATAAAAAATAATTTATAACTGTCTTAATTGATATTCATAACTCATTTATTAAAAAAATTGTCAAAGACTTAACTATTATTAATTTAATATTTTGGAACCTAATTATTGTTCTCCTAATAATTAATATTCTTTTAATAACGCCCTCGGTGAGGATATCATTGAATAATTATCATGGATAAAATGATTGAGAGAGAATCGAAATGATTAAGATTTTTCACTTAACTAAGGGCGTGTTTAGAAAGATGGAGAAATTTTAACTACTTTTATTGCTTTTATGAAAATTAATTAAAAAATAATTTATAAATAAAAATGAAAAAGAGTAGCACATATATCAATTTGCTTAATTCTTCATGCAATTCCTTCTCGGGATTTCCCCTTCCACTTCCACGGGGCTTTCAGGGTGCTTTCCAATGTCGACTTTGTGATTTTCCATTCGGCCGAAAATAAACTGGAAATTATTATAAGACTTGGAAACGAATATACATTGGGTTTAATTTGTGAAGATTTTATTTCTTGAATTTTTTCTAGATGACATGTTTCTTGTTTAATTGTGTTTGAATCCAAAAATGAGTAAGTTCTAGGACCTCAGTCCAATAAATAAAGCAGGGCAATGAAGTGTCAATGCAATAAATCCACGTCCTAGCAACTCAACCACTAAATGCATAAACACAGTCTAGATAGTGAAAAAGACAAAAAGTAGAGCAAGACTTTTGCGGTAACAAGTTTTAAGGGATGTGCAACGTGTCATGATTTAGTTCTCGTCTACAAATAACGGAGGCGCAAGTGTCGTTGAAGACAAACAATCAACATCATAGACGCCAATCACTTTAATTACTTGCCCAAGATGCTCAATTGCCACTTGTATTATTGTTGACAATTTAAAAAGCCATTATTGAAACAGCCATTTGTTCAACATCATAGAATCTTAAATGTAAGAAATTAACAGATATAATTATTAAAAATTTGACTCATAACATTCAAATCCCATTATTTATAAGAGATTTTTGTTAGCAGGTGATTTATAAATAATTACGTAATTCTTTGATGGATTTATGAGGCTTAGTTTACTTAAACTTTCTTGTAAAAACAAAAACAAAAAACTTGATCTGAAAAAATAAAGAAACATTATTCTCTCTTCATTCCTCTTTTCCCTTTTCTTCTCTTCATCTTATCTCCACCCTTAAATAAAAAAATAAATGATTCAAATTTAATTGTTTTGTAAAATAATTATCATAATAATACATTTAAAAAATAAATAAATAAATTTAAATTATTAAAATTTGACATGCATAGTTTCTAACTATAAAATAAATAAATAAAATTAATTTATAAAATATTTTAATAACAGCATGTATTTGTGAAGTGTAAGTTGTGTCTAAATTTATTTACTTTATTTTTATATGGTGTTATGGCAAAACAATTAAATTCAAATTATTGATTTTATTATTCAAAAGTAAGAATGAGACTCGAGAAGAGAAGAAAATGAGAAAAGAGATGAGGAGAGGATCGGCACCCAAAAATTCTCATATCAGTGCAACTGTACACGGAATGGTTGGAACGATTTGACTCGCAAAGTCAAATAACAATAAACATAGTCACACTTATCTGACATAACGAATGACGTGTTCGCAATAAATATTGAAAATGATGAAATGGACCGCATATACACAAACAATTGATGATTTTTTCCTCCTTCATTTAATACGTTTTATAAACTAAACATTTTATTACTATAAATTTTATTTTGTATGGTGATATAGTGATAATATGTGTTGATATTAATATTGGTTATTATGTTTATGTGTTATTTTTTTAATCTATAAGTTTTCTAATTGATCATTTGTTACACAAAATCACAACCATTTGATTAATGTGATTCCACACATACCTTTTTCTTTAAACAACTTTATTCAAATGCCATTACTAGTTTTAGTAAATTGGTAATAATGATGATACCATTTTTTTCCCCCTTGAGCTAACTTATGTGTGTTTAGTTTTCAGTTTAGTAAAAATTATTTGGTAAAAGTTATTTAATGTAAATTAATTATTGTAATGAAATTTATATTTAAACATTTAAAATTTAAATGTTAAAAGCATTTTTTAAAAGTTAAAAGTTAAGTTATCAAATAAACCCTTAAATGAGTTTAGTTTAGTTTTAGAGACGCATTCAAAAGGGATATAATAGGTCTCAAAAACACTTAATTATAACAATATTTACAAATTATCTATTAATAAATTCTTATATTAGTAATAAGGTTCAAATTCAAATTCTTTCCCTTCTAAAATATAAATAACAGATTTGTCTATTGGATCAATTTTTGTCGGCATCAAATGATTTTATTTAGGTTTACAATTGAATATTAATTATAAATTACTAGATTGTTGAGAATTCATGACTTTTTTTTTTTTTGGACCAGCAAGAGTTCATGACTTTATTTAACCCATTTGCTTTAAAATAATAAGGAGAAGGAATATTTCACTTTTTCTGCTGCAACTACTCCAGATAAGAAGATATTAAAATACTTCGTGTCCGCCTGCCATCGTTGAACCAAAGAGACTTACTGTAAAAATGAAAATAAAAGGATTGAACCCAAATATTTAATTTTTGAATCATCAAATTTTAAAAATCTAAATTAATGAACAGTAACTTATCGAAACAAAAGCAGCAGCTCAACATGAACAGCATACACATGTACTAATAATTCGTTTTCTAAATATACGAGAAAAATAATTAATTTATACAATTCAAGAAATTTGTTTAAGTATGATAATTATGTTTAAAATTAAAAATTAAAAATTTTATTATCCTGTAATTAATGAAGTAAATCTGTCCTGTGAAAATAAATATTAACTTCATGAAACACAGTTTGAAAAAAAAATAATAAGCAGGAGGATTATATGACATGCAAGAAGACTAATAACATAAACAACAAATAATAATAAAAAAAATATAATTTAGACTGTAAATGTTGATCTATCATCTTGCTGTTTGCAGCCAACAGTAGAGATCCTCAATAATAAACACTTTTTTTTTTTTGACATGGAACCTCAATAAATGCTAGACACAAATTTGGTTTATGTTTTTCTTTCATGAGCCCTGTAAAGTCTACAGAATATCTCTTGATCTTGATACATTAAATACGGCTGATGTACTATTTTGTTGACTTTGTACTACTTATGATAATATTTGTCACTTGATTTAATGAATTTTCTCGTCCGGTACATTACGCAACGAAAATTAGATATGGCTGGCCAAAAAGAAAAAAATAAAAAAAGATACGTGGACATTACAATGAGAGAGCCTTTAAAACAACGGGGGAAAAGGTCAAACAACTTTTCACCAAGTACACCTACGACAACCCCAGTTTTGGCTGCTTTGGCAGAAGGAAAGGAAATTTATAAATAATATTCACATGGCATTTTTTAAGGATGAAAATGATTTTTTATCATTTATCCTGAAAAAATGACTAAGTGACAAATCAAAACTGAAAAGGGGAAGAAGAAAATTCCTACTTTGTTCTGCCCCCTCAGATAATGGGTTTAATATGATATATTATCCCAAGACGGGCCAGGCATGTTTTGCCAGAATATGGGCATGACCTGAATGAAACTTATTTTAACTGAAACTTGGGCCTTTAAAATGGGACAAAATTGCAACTCCCACTAAAGTGCTTCACATAATAATAAATGCCTGAGTGAAAGAATTACCTTCGAACTCAACAATATTTAAATCTGACATAATTAAATATTATATTAAAAATACCAAATACTAATATCAAATGCCAGTGGCCAATGCGGCGCAGTGACACCTGTATTGCATCAGCTTAACCTGAATACAAAAAGAAAAAACACGCGCGCACAGAGGGGAAGGGCAGAGTTATAAAAACATCACTCAAAACAAATGTTATTTTGAATGAATGACTAAGAAGCTAAACTAGTTGCAAGGATGCTTTCACAAGGATCTTCAGACTGAGGATAGCTTATTGATGAAGTGAACTTGTTCAAAGGCATTTACATAAAGCAGAAAACACCAGTTTCCCCAAGATCAATCAATGAAGTTCCCAATAAATTTTGTATTTGACAAGCACGTATAGAATAACTGAATACATAAAGCAGAAAACACCAGTTTCCCCAAGATCAATCAATGAAGTTCCCAATAAATTTTGTATTTGACAAGCAAGTATAGAAAAACTATTCAGTTAGAGACTGATTATTGGTCCAACTCATACAAGATGAAAATATATTCAATTGGTATGGCTATAATGAAGTCCTCATTGTTGTGCTTACAAAATAATATCTTGCATCGTGCTTTAGACATTCAACCAGAAAAGAACCTTTTCCAAGACTGCCAAGGAAGAAATCCACCTGAAATACGTTATATATGAAGGATTATATGCCGAACAATTTAATTACCAAGAAGTAAAGACCAGTAGACTGGAAATGAAACATAGAAAGGCAGAGAAAATTATCGATACCACTCAGTCATCATGCTAAAATCATGATTTACAAAAAAACTGTAAATTGCATTCTTGTTTTGAAATAAGTATTATCTCCTCGCTGGATTCATCATTCATGGGTTTGAAATAAAGTTAAATGAGACTGATTAGTACAACTGTAATTGCGCTGCTGGAATTACTAAAGCAACAGCAGAATTAACCATTGTATTATTTGTTGTATGCAAGGTAAATGCATGGCCTCTTCAACTAGAAGAACAATGGGCTTCATGGCTGTTTATCTTCAAGTTGCATGATGTTCATGATTTAGAGGCCATTATAAAATGATGCATTTATCCTAGTAAATGGCTTAAGATGTAAGATTGTAGTTAAAATCCAAAAGAACAGAAAAGTTGAAAATGACAGAAAGAAAGTTTTAACTGAATCAACAACTATGCAGAAGAAGAACATGCAATCCTACCACATTCTGGGCAACGGAAATACTCCTTTTCCATAAGAACCAACCCTGACCCTCCACACTCCTCACATCTTTTCTGAGCTATCTGTCATTCAATGCAATTAATCACATCAGTATGAGAACAAGATTCACAACTTACGGGTTAGCTCAGAAAAATTCTTAGACGGACCAAATCTACAGAAGATATGGGTCAAGCCAATATTACATAAACAATTAAGCTTACTATTGGAACAAAACTTCAGTGCAGTTTCTTAAGAGTTTGTTATCATATCAAATCATTGAGCGAAAACATAGCATGTGAAACTTTTTTGAAGAATTCAAACCCAGTATGTGACATTAAGTTTCTCAATTATGATCCTTTTCAGTCTGAATCTATTTAAGAATCTGTCAATAAGCCAATGCCCAACAAAGCAAGAGCAAGATTAACTTACAATTCTTTTGCTAAATTCAACTCCAGCCACCACAAAAGGCATAACTCCAGCTACCAAAAGAAAAAGAAAAATATCATTATCAAACCAAACTGTAAATACAATCGAACGCACCAACTTCAATATTCTTTCAGGACAACGAAACACTATCCCACGTAAGCAGAAAATTAAATCCTCGCTATATCATTGAAGAGAATATCAACGGGCATACGTGAAGGTTAGGGATTATCCCAAACGCAATACCCATAGCTCCGACCACAATTTGCCATGTGACTTGCACGGGAGCTGGGTCAAGCACGGTTTGTACATCGTTGATTGCCGCTATCGGCCTGGTCCTTCTGGTTCTTCTTGCATTCTGAACCGATGTATTTTCGCAACTTCTCCTTATAGGAAAATGAACCGTTGCCTTTGATCCGGAACAACAATACACTCCGCTCAGTGTTGTGGGAATCTTGGTAGAAAGCACGGACGAAGATGAGGACACTGAAGTTTCCATGGCATTATCCCTATTCCCGACCCGGCCACGCACCACCGGTCCGCAAAGGCTATTGCTGCCAGCCTGCCACGTAGGCTCATAGCTAGTGGGTTCGCGCCATCCACACATAACTCCTGTGAACCGCGTTCGAAGATTGCATTCCTCTCACTAGAACTACGTCGTATCATGTGCTTTCTAGCTTCTTGAACTGGTAATGTTGGGGCAGATGCATCTAATTTTTGATGATGGGGTTAAGGGAAAATTGTGAAATTATTATGGGCCCAACAGAATTTTTGGAGCTTAAATGGAAGAAAATGTGTTCAAATACACGGTAAAAAATAATGCATAATAACGACAATAAAATCCCATAAAAAACAACAACAATAAAATTGAGTGGCGACCCATCTTTGTTATTATTCTCTCCATTAACAAATATAAAGTATTTTTAATTGAATCTCACATTCAATAAAATAATTACCTATTTTTTAACTGACCCTATCTTTTTATATTTATCGCTATTAAACATCTTATAATAAATATAAAGTTATTATCAATAGAGACACTTAAAAAAAAAATGATTATATCTCAAAAGACTAAAAATATCTTACATTTTTAAACATCTAACTTCTCAAAAAATGCCTTACATTTTTTAATGGAGGGAATATAAATTATCATATTTTAATTATAAATATTTTTAAAATCAGCTGTAAATAATAGAGAATAATAAAATCTTTGTGGACATATATCTTCAATTAATCTTCATTATTTATAATTAAAATATTATAATTTATAATTCGATAAGTCTGAAATTGGGACAATGCCATATTTTCATCCCTATAAAAAAATTATAATTAGAGCCCAAAAAAATTGGCAGTATTTTTGTGAATTTATGGAATTTATTTGTGAGGAGTAATTTATAAATAAACATCCTTGGAGCTTTGTCCACATAATAACAAGTATCCTTTATCCTTTAATTAAAAAAAAAGGGGTGTTATACTCTTAAGGAATCTGGAATTTGAATTAAGAGAATGATAACAAAATTTTAAAAAGATTAATTAATTTAATTTAAGTTTTAAATGTCAAACTATAAAAATTTGTAAGTTGGGCTATCAATTTTGTAATTTTATTATGATGAATTTATAACTTATATTTTAAATTTTAATAAAAAAAATAAAAACTCAACTTACAAAATTCTTAAATTTGATACTTAAAATTTAAACTGAATTAATTGATTCTTTTCACACGATCTCAGCCTCCCTTTGAATTATGCTAACTGCCAATGGGCTGGTGACATGACACCCAACTTCTGATAATCTTTTTCAACGACGCCGTTTCATGTATGGCCCACGTATTGATTAATGACGCGCCATATTTATTCTGACTAACTGATTCTTCAATTCGAGTGAAGGAGAGTGGAGGAGGATAAGCCTATTCTACTGGACAGAGTGGAGAGATTCTCTGGTTTAGGGTTTTTGAGTGTATTCCTCTATCCTTCCTTTTCTTTTCCGTCCGGATATGGCTACCATTTCCACTTTCTACCCTTACAATCCCGTTCGACCTGCTTCTTCTCCTTCCTCTTTGGCTTCGACTTTGAGCAAGTGGCATTTGGTCTCAAAATCTCGTCGGGGAAGAGGAGCGCGCAAGTTCGTGGTGCTTGCGGCGCATTCCAACCCTAAGATTCTGAAGACTAATCGGAAATCGAGGTTCGGGCAGGCGCTATCACCGTACGACAGCGATGCTGATGATGAAGCATTGGAAGACGAGGATGAGGACGATGATGATGATTGGCTATCTGATGTAAGTTTGTTTTTCAGTTCCTGAATTTTTTGGGCTTTCGTTAACAGTTGTTTGCTCCGTCGGGAGTACTTTATGGCCTTTTGGGAAATGGCTTTACTTTAAGTTCTTGCTTCACGATATTTGAAAATCTATCTTTGACGTCATCCCTGCTATAGAGGAATTCTCCTAGGATAGAAGTATAGTGTCCTGCTTTCAGTGAGAAATCGATGTTTTTTCAACTGAATTTATGTGTACGCTCTTGTCTTCGAGTATATACTGTTCCATGTTCCTTTTGACAGACGCTAATGTTTCTGCTCTCTAGGCTTTCTCCATGGTAAATGACTAATGTTGATTTTTTGTCTTCAATTCATATGTCTGTTTCTTACTCCCTCCTTTCAAAAATATAAGTCATTTCTAACCTGATTACGCCTTAATTATAAGTAAACTAACACCATCTTTCTCTTATTTAACTGGTTATTTTATTTAAAGGTGAAGGTTTGAACAGTTTTTATTTATTAGGGATACTCTTGGAAAAGAACTTATTAATTATACCTTAAAAAAATACTTTATAATTTTTAATATTTCAAATTTTTTATATTTTTTTAACGGAGGGAGTATTTGTTATCAAGTAGTGCAAAGAGTTCAACTCAAAAAAAAGTAGTGCAAAGAGTTTTTTTTTGTTTTTTTTTTTTGGGCCGACTTTCAGTGTTTTGATATTCTCGAGATAGATTTTGATTTTCGTAAAGATATTTCGAATTATGGACGGTTTTATTTCTCTAGTCACCATATATGAATTTTCTTTATGAATTCTTCACATAGCCATCTTATTACTAAAGGAAGAATTCAACAAGCTGTCCATAGTTGCTACCCTGCTTATTCACCATATACGAGTTTACTATATTATTTTCTCCCCTTTTTTGTTATGGTGAAGCACTGTACTTTGGTATTATGGTGTCGCTGTCTGCCAGTAGCATGCTTGTAACTTTATTTTTAACGTTTCATTAGATTTTGGTGGGAAATTTGTAAATTTGTATATATTTTTACTTTGCTGAAACCACGACTGTTTTCATTGTGGAGTGTATTCAGGAAGAATTTGCGGAGCCTGCTGACTTCGATTCTAATGACAAGAAATTTAAGTCAAAGAAAATAGAAGGTATGCTTGATATGAATCTTCTTCTTGTTTTTTTTTAAGTGAAAGTATTTTGAGTATCTTGTGTGTAATGTGCAGTAAAAGATTGGCGACAGGAAAAAGGGTGGAAGGTGAGATCATTGGAAAGCTCTAAAATGGTAAAAAGTGAGAAAGTGGTATCCTTTGAATCAAATAGCAGTGTAAAGGTACAGAGATGTGATAATCTTGAGTGGCAAATTCCATTAAATGTACAACTGAAGCTGAGGAACCCCATATTCTTTTTTTATTGCAGGTTGGTAGAAATTTAAAGGAGAACAAATATCCTCGATTGTCTGAGGAGATAAATTTGGATAAGAAATGGATTCCACTTCTGGATTACTTAAGCACATTTGGAATCAAGGAATCACACTTTATCCAAATGTATGAAAGGCATATGTCCTCACTTCAAATCAATGTATGTTCTGCACAGGAAAGGTTAGAATACTTAATGAGTGTTGGTGTCAAACATAGAGATGTAAGAAGAATCCTTTTGAGACAACCACAAATTTTGGAGTACACTGTGGAGAGCAATTTAAAGACTCACGTTGCATTCTTGATGGGTTGGGAATTCCAAATTCCAGAGTAGGGCAAATCATTGCTGCTGCTCCATCCCTGCTTTCTTATAGTGTTGAAAAATCTTTAAAACCAACAGTAAGATATTTAGTTGAGGAAGTTGGGATCAAGGAAAAGGATCTGAGTAAAGTCATTCAGTTGAGCCCACAAATTCTCGTTCAGCGTATTGACATTTCCTGGAATATTCGGTATATGTTTCTAACCAAAGAGTTGGGAGCACCCAGAGATAGCATAGTGAAGATGGTGACCAAACATCCTCAGCTTCTCCATTATAGCATAGATGATGGATTACTGCCTAGGATTAACTTTCTGAGGAGCATAGGAATGAAAAATTCAGACATCTTAAAAGTCTTGACTAGTCTTGCACAGGTCATTCTTTGATTTATTTACGACCCCATTACTGATATATTAACAGAACTCTGTTTTTTGTTGCAAAATCCCATTCTTCCATTTTAGCTCTTTCATTGATTGTTGCTTCTACAGGTCCTTTCCCTGTCCCTGGAGGAGAATCTAAAGCCCAAGTACTTGTATCTGGTAAATGAACTTCAGAATGAAGTTCAATCCTTGACCAAATATCCAATGTACTTGAGCTTGTCTTTGGACCAGAGAATACGTCCTCGTCATAGGTTCTTGGTTTCTCTGAAGAAAGCTCCAAAAGGACCATTCCCACTTGGATCACTGGTCCCAACTGATGAATGCTTTTGTGAGCAGTGGGCAGGGACTAGTTTGGATAAGTATTTGGCTTTTCGTCAGAGACTTTTAATCAAGAAATTTGCTGAAAAGTATGAAAAATCAAAATAAAGCGTGTTAGTCCACTTGCATGAGTACTGGAAGAGCAGTCTCTTGCAAGTGATAATACTAGAAACCTACAAGTTGTTGATATAATCGTCCATGATGGTTGCCATAGTGGCTGAAGCTCAATCACTCTAGTTCATTCGGCAATTTTTTGTGCTGCTCTGTACTGATGTTTCATGACGTTCAAATTTCTGTTGAATCTTCCCTGTAATGGCTCAAGCTCAACTTCTTCTGTGAAAGTTGACTGGTATCGTATTTGTCAAAGTCAGATGGTTGTTTTCAAAGTCCTTGGTATCAGAAAGGCAGAGCACATGATGTTGAGGTCTGTCATCTTAAGGTGTGCTTGTTTATTAGTTCATACGTTCTATAGGAATTGTGACTTGACCTTCAACTTATTGCAGGTTGTGGACTATACTGCAAGCAAGCTGTCTAAATCAAATAAGGAAGCTGCTGTAATTTAACGATCCTTCCTACAAATGTTGTGGTTGCTACCTCCTCTTTTACCTTTTTTCTGGCAATAATGCCCTCAATGAATTATTTTTTCCTTCCATGCTTTTGTATATCTCATATAGAGGGGACTTCTGTTGTTATACATGCCCCTAAACTCACAAGAGAAATAAGAACTATAGTAACATGAGAAACAAAAATCATATTTGAGCTTTTGGTATTTACACAACAAACTGTTATCACATTTGCATGGTTTTGTCACAGAATACTCTTAAACTCTTATTTAGATCTTGGCACAGAGAAATCTGTTAGGTGATATTTTATCCTCATTTTCCGTATTACAGACAATAGAAAGCTTATCACCTTATTATCTTGTCTGGTGGATTTCTCGTGTGACAAAGTAGTACTTATGTTTGTGAGAAAGACAGAGACATCTATATCATTTATGCTCCGATTGGTAAGAAGAAATTGGAGTTTAGAGAAATGGAAGTGAAAATGGAATTCAAAAGTTTACATGATTGATTCATTTGAACTGGTTTCCATGTGAAAGTCATTTCTATCAAAATTATTGGAATTGACTTCCTCATCAACCTCATGGAACCAGTTTCACTTCCATTAAAGCCTCAAGTCTAACCATTTTGCCCCCTCACCATCTCTCATTGTCGACGCTGAGGAGTAGTGGAGAGGCGGTGGACCGAACAATGGTGACTCCGGTGATGATGATGATGGACGGCAATAACTCCAGCAAAGATGAAGGTGATGCTCTTATGAACGGCAATGCATCCCGAAATGAAACCCATGACGAACGATGATGCTCCTTCGTTTTCTAGTTCACGTTCTTCCTCTTTGATTTTTGTCTTCAGGTTCCTCCCATTTGCATTTGAAGTTCAATTCTGATTCGATTTCCTCCCTAATTTCTGTCTTTTGAGCCTTACCACTGGAGAGCCTTCCTCTTCGATTTCTTTCACTTGCTTTCCCTTTCCACATGAGAGCCATCCTCTTCGATATCTTTCACTTGCTTCCTTTTTTTGTTCAGTTCTTTTGCTTGGTCTATCCATTGTAGCTTTCTGTCTTCTCAATGTTTTATGCATACGAACACCATTTTTGTTATTGTTTTTTAAACTTTGGGTTTTTGAGATGGCACAATTTTGACATTAACGAATCAGATATGGTTACTTCTTGGCTTCATTTTCTCCATAGACCGAAAATTAGTATCATGAATCTAAGGTGCTGAAGTTTTCCGGCGGTATTCCGACAAGTCTAGGTAGATGTCAGAGTTTGATGATTTCTTATGAATATTTGCAGTGATGGCTGTGAACAATGAAGGTAGTGGAGATCTTTTTTTTAATTCTATGAGCATTTTGGTCTTCTTTAAATATAAGTATATTTATTAAATAATTTTGTTATTTCACTTCCATTTGCATGCCAAGTACTTTTAAATTTTATTTTCACTTCTATTTTCACCTCTATTTCTATGAAAACTCCTCCCTCGTACCAAATAGGACATTAGTTCATGTCAAGATATTGATACTCATGAATATATATATATGTACGTGGCAAATTATCCTCTTCAATTGGTTAGAATCGTGCGTGATATTTGATAGAAGAGGAGTGCAGCACGTGACACATGCAATAGATAATTACTGATATGTTTAACAATAATCTACGATGGATATTGTGAAGAATTCTATGAAAATCATGTGTGTCCTTGGCGTTTATGATCTGGCCAGCCACATTTAAATTTTGCTTGGATCTATTCCCGATTGAAGACAAGGTGGAAGAATTATATCATGCATTACATGCTGTGCAACCTGTCATATCGTATATTTTGTATCTCAAAGGCTCACGACAAATCGGATTGCTTTCTCTAGTCCATTGAATTTTTTTTGAAACTGTAGTCCATAGAAATTTTATACGATCACTTCAGGCGGGGAAGGAGAAGAAAAAAGAAAAAGAATTTTTTTTTGGCCAAACAGAAAAAAGAAGGAATTATTTTATTTGAATAAAATCCCAACAAATTTTAAAATGTAAAGTAAATTTCTTAAGTCTTATAATTGATATTTCATATAATGTTTGTTCCTAATTTTAGAATTCAAAAAACAAGTTACAAATTCAATAAAATTAAATTAAAAATTTAAAAGATAAAGTTGCAAATTCTTAAAGTATTCAAATAATTACATGTTACTTTTAAAATTTAATAATTAAGATTTGGGTTCCCTATTAAATTTGAGAAAGCGAGTTGCAAAGTTAAAACAATGAAATTGCAAATTTAAGAGACAAAATTGCAAATTACTAAGTGTTCAAATAATGACTTAATTCTTTTCAAATACAATCATTAAAATTTGTGTTTCCTATTAAAAGTAAGAATATGAATTGTAAATAATTGATCAAGTGATAGATTTTAATCATAATTGATTATATTATATTGCAATCTATTTGGATACTGTATTTTTAAATTAATTTTAATAAAATTGAAGATGTTTGGATAATTTATTCAAAATTAATTTTAGCTGTATAAATTATCATAAAAAATATTACCTTTTAAAATTAAATTATTGATAAATTTTTATTTAATATTTAAAAAGTAAAATATATTATTTAAATTATATATCTGATTAATTATAAAAATTTAAATTATATTAATATTAACAATTTTAATTTACATAAATAAATAATTCAATATGTCTTAGTTCAAATAAATTTAATAAAAGAAAAAGATTTGATTCTTAAATACTAAATATCAATTTTATAATAACTAATGAAGATGATAATGTACAAGTTAATCTCTAATAACATCACAAATATAAGTCATATCTGACAAAGATATTAAGCATTGCTTAGAAAATTTGACAACATAAAAAAATGTAGTAATATAATAAATGATGTAAAATCTCTCTCTTTAAACTTTTGCAGCAATCTTTGTTATGACCATCAATTTTAAATTAAATTAAATTAATTTTTTTCTACCAAGTAATATTTTATTTAAATTAATTTATAACAAGTGCTAAGTGGAGAGTCATTGATATAGGAACTTATGTTAATAACTTTTTTAAAGATCTAAAGTTTGATTTTTATTAAAAAAATAGAAGAGAAGAGAGTTTGATTTTAGTTTTATCAAATTTTATACTTTTTTTATAATTTTTTTTTCTTGAACCTTTCTTGTAATTTTTTCATATTCCTTGAATAATTGAATGCAAAAGCTGACTCTCGCGGCTTTGAGAAATAATCAATTTTTTTTGGCAAAAATTGATATTTTGGATAAATGGGTGTTTGAATAATTTCAGCAAAAATCAATTTTTTAAAATAATCAATTAAAAATGTCATCTAAACACACATTAACAAGACAAAACTATAAATTTAAAATTTATAATTTCATCATCTTAAATTTGTAACTCATTTTTTTAATTTTAATAGTGAACACAAATCTTAATGATTAAATTTTAAAAAGTAATATGTTATTAATTGAACACTTTCAGAAATTTGCAATTGTCTCCCAAATTTGTAGTTTTGTCTTGTTAAATATGCAATTTGCTTTACAAATTTTAAAATTAAAAACAAAGTACATTATACAAAAATACCAGTTGAGGGACCTAAGAAACTTACTTTATATTTCAATATTGGCTAATTTATACAAAACTTTTCTAAATTTTGAATCATGTATAAATAATCCTCTAAACCTTTAAAACTTAATATAAACCTCCTCGAATTTCAAATTTATGCAAATAGACCCTAATTATTAATTATATACCCTTTTAAACTTTATTTTTGCATATATTTAAACCCCTCAACTTTGATTAATATAAAATAACCTCCTAATATTTAAGTTACGTATAGATAATTAATATTTAAAATTAATCATGTAGAGCTATTTGAGTAAATAAGAGTTGAGAAGGTTCATTATAAAGTTTTAAAGGCTAAAAATATTATTTATACATGATCCAAAGTTTAAAAAATAATGTATAATTTAACCTTTAATATTTGTCACAACTTGACTTGAAAAAAAAAAAAATTCATATGTTCATTACTCAACACCAAGTACTCCTTTATTTCATATTCTTTTCTGTTTTTCCATTTACTTGAAAAAAGGGCAAGAGCAAAAGATATTTGAGTTAGTATATGATAAAAATAGACATAACTTTTGTGAATAAAGTAGTTTTTTTTTTTACCTATCAATATTATATAATTATATTTTAATATTTTTAAACACTATAATTATAATTTATAGTTTAATTAAAAGCTTTGATAATAAATATGAACAGAGCTGTTGAATTCCAATTCTTCATTTATATTGAAAAATTAAAAAAAATTATAAAATATAAGAGACTGAAAATTCAACATATAGGCAGTTAAACCATCACGAACTCTTCTAATGGAATCACCATTAATATTAAACTTAATTATAGCAAATAAATAATTAAATCTCAGACAAATTCAAAAAGTTGACAGAGATCCTAGAAAGTAAAAAGTGCTTCATATATGAATATATATGCCTGGTGATGATTTGAGTAATCTCCCAACTACATAACCTTTGAAGAAAAGAAAAAGGGAACAAAAAAAAAAAAACTCAAACTTCCTTCCTACGGTAAAATGTAAAACCTAAAACCACATTATATGTATCATCATATATTCTTCTTCTCTGTTTCCAACAATTCAAAGAGAATAATAATAAAACTTGTAAGTGTATGAAGTTAAAGATGCCGCTTTTGTCTGGTGCTGTTTTCAACTCTATATTCTTTCTCCTGTATTAGTTTCCAAATCTATAAGACTGTAGAAATTCCACTATCCGAGGGAAATGCAAAAGGGCTGTCAGGGAGATCCAGTCCTTGGCTGCTGCATTAATTTTTTTTTATTTTAGAAAATATATATTTTTATCTGCAGATGCTTCAAAAAGGTAAGAATAGTCCAACAAAATCTATAAGAAATCAATCCATACCTGTCCTCATCAGTACAATTGGTCTGTATATACCTAGGTTTGTCAGTCACATTAATGTTTAAAGGTTCTGCAGACTGAAAATTGAAAGGGTCTGCACAAGAAATCATATCAAGTTAGCATAATATAGGCAGCTAAGGATGCTTATACCTCATAGTTTGTGAATAGTGATGCTTGTTAGATTTTATATTATACTTTAACAAATATTGGTTGCACACACCTTCTGAAGTTTTTAGCCCATCCATGGAAAAGCTGAGATAAGATGGATTTGCCGGTAAGTTTTGGGTCGTTTGCAGCGCGGCGAGACGTCTCCTCTGAAATTCAAGGGCTTGTTCTTGCTCCTCATAGAGCTGCCTCCTCAGAAATGTAGGGCTAACGCAACTTATTGGCACTATAAAATTAGTGTATCAGTATGAAGTATGAACTCATCTTGCTGGATGACTTCTAGTCAGAAGCCCAAGCTTACCAAGGCTTGTGAATAGTTTTGGTCCATTGATCCATTACCTAATGTTACTCACACCCAACACATAAATTCTAGACCGCTTGGTTATGCTGATATATCATGTCATAAACTACTTTAACTCAAAGGCTTAAGGTGATAAAAGGAATCTCCAGAATAATTTTATTATAATCTCTGACAAAACTAAACAGACTGAAATCAGATCACAGCATAATCCAATCTTTACATTTAACAAGTAAGTAAATGTAGAGTGTGAAATTGAAGAGAAATAGATGGAGCGGTGTAGGACCAAGCAGATTCCAATATTAGAAGCTGTTGAGTTTTTCCCCACTCTCCAACTACACAATATCCAGTACTAAAAAAAATCCATTTAGCTGCAAAAATCATTTAAAACGGTTATGTCATAGAGGCACGAAAACTGATAATGCATGCAAGTTCTCCAAGTTTTTTAAACAGAAGATATGACATACGAGCTTATAGACTTCAAACCAGAAGATATCATACTCACTAGAGGCAAGTTCAGAATGTATGTCTCCATATTGCGGTGAATAGCAAACAGGAGGCTCAATTCTCTCAGGGTATTTCCTGCAACAAAATTGAAGTGCATAAATGAGTAAAAAAGAAAAGCTAGCGCATTACTTGGGACTTCACAGAATCTTTAGAGAAGAACATTTAAGCAGCAGTTAACTTCAAAAGCATGAAATGATGCTAGCATGTGTGAATACTTAATTTAGAGAGTATAGAAGTTTTGAAACTTGAAACAAATATCCATTCATTTACTAATGACACTTGCGCAATTGTTTGAAGCTTTCATCTTAAGTTTTGATTGCAAATACAAATTCAAGCATTAAAACTTGAATGATTTCCCATGGCAAAGGGCATCCAGGTAGCTCACCTGTCAATGATCTTTGATTTTTCCCGGTAAGGTTTGACAAGCACCCGGGAGCCCTGAACATAGTGGGGATTCCCCTTTTCCAAAACTGTCCTCACCGTTTCTGGATCGGCAAACGTTACGAATCCAAACATCCTCCTCTGTTGGCAAGGAATTCTTACATCTTCAACAGTTCCAAAATTTCTGTCAACAAAAAGCAATTCAATGCAACCCAGTAACCCAAACTATTAACTACAGTGAAGTGACAAAATGCATTGTTAGATCCAAAAAACTAGTTTACTTGAAGTAGTTTGAAACATCCTCTTCTGTGAAACTGCAGTCAGCTGGGAAAGTTAAATAAATTTGTCGCGATGCGCTGATATTTTTACCAGGATCTCCTCTTTCCAAGTATCTTGGCGCGTTTTCTGCTAGAATTACTGCATGCTGTCCATGGGGTCTGTAAATAAATAAACCACAAGTTACAGGACACAGTTGAATAAGAAGAATTTGATCAATTTACTGTATACAATATACACATGAAAGATTCATGAGATTTCACCTGTCTATGACCCTAATACTATTTTTCAATCGGGCAAGAAGCTTTGTCAAACTAAAGCCAGATTTGCCATGTCTCTGGCTCTCAGTTAGATAGCCTTCAGCCTGAAGTACCTTGTTATACTTTTCATAGTATGCCATCGGAAGGGAAGCAATTGTAATAGGATTCCCTCTTCTTGGTTTCAGGAGCTCAACAATTTCTGACTCTAATTGTGCTAGTGAACCCGGTGTAACTACTTGATCATCGTCAGTGGCATCATGTCCATACATCTGCGAAAGTCTCTCCAAACCAACTTGCCCGTGATAGTATCTACAACTACTTCCATGCTTGCAGAAACCTTTGTTAAAATAGTGACAAGTCTTGACAGGAAATTCAGATGAAAACCTTCTACCAGCTTTTATATTTAAATTTCCTGGGGAAGAATCTAAGCTAAAATAATCATTCACAATCTCAGTGTTCCCAGCATTCACTAGATCTATATTATTTTCTAAACCAAACAACTGGGCCTGCTTCTGAAGTTCTGAGACAGAATCAAAGTAACTCATTGGCATAAAATCTGTGTTTGTAGTGTTAGCATTAGACTGTGGTCCCCAAAAAGCCGAGTGAACTTGGAAGCTTGCCGGAGAAGTAGGGCTTCTAGAAGAAATCATGGATGATTGGTTTAAACCTTGTTTTGGAGGGTTCATAGGAGTTAGGAGAGGAAGTATCGAATGTTTAGTGGCCAACCTCTGAAGCTCCATTTTGGCATTAAATGCCACTTCTCTGATCACATGATCAGGGCATGATGCTAATTTAGTCATTTCCTGCTCACCATGATCTTGCAAGAGGAGGTAGCCAACAATTTTCGTCGCATGCTCAGCTTCAAATTTCTGAATTTTATCAAAAACAATCCTTGTACAGTCTGAAATATCCATAGTTTACCTTATCACTGCCAAAAAAAGATTCCAAAATATCAACTCAGCACATAGCAGCCATTGAAGATTGAACATAAACTGTAAAGGTAAAAGCCAAAACCTAATGGTAAAGAAGTGACAGATCAATATAAGTCCAAAGAACAAACAGAACAAACGTTGTTCTTCAACCTTAGGGAACCCTCTTCCATGAATCTAGTTGGTAAGCATAACAAAACAGAGATGAAGAATTCTGAGAAAAGATTGGCACTTCATAGCGAAATAGATTTTCTTCAGTTTTTCTGTTTATGCCAAGAAAGAAAGTTTTCTTCAGCATAAAGAAGAACTCTGAAAAAGAATGAAACTAGACAGTGAGCTAGATTTTGCTTCAGTTTTTATCCGTTTATACCGAGAAAGAAAGTTTTCTTTAGCACTAAGAATTCTGAAAAAGAATAGCACTAGACAGTGATGAGTGAACTAGATTTTCTTCAGTGTTTCTCTGTTCATGCCAAGAAAGGAAGTTTTCTTTAGCGCAAAAGAGATAGGACTGTTTTTTCCTTATTTGGAAATAAACTGAACAGAGAACATTAAAAAAATCGAATGCAAAAAATCACGCGTCATCTCCAAGCAAAATAATGCAAAAAGTAGAAGAAATATGACAACCGATTCTGAAACTGAAACAAAGAACCAAAACCTTCACAACGATGAACCGAAACCGGAGTTTCAGAATAAAGACCAGAAAAATCTGCAGAAACCGAAGTCAATTGAATCTCAATAGTCAAAACACATTTTTCAGAATCACAATTACAAGAATGAACAGGTAAAGCAAGACACATCGTTCAAATTTGCGTACCGTTAGAAGAAACAAAGAGAATTCCTCAAATACATTGTTCAAGCAACATTTTTAATGATTTAAACATTCAGAAGAAGTGAGAATTCCAGAGAGACACACAAAACAAACTCAATTAACGTCGCTTACCACCATTTTCAAAATTTGAAACCTTCGTTTCCTTTTCGGGGAAAAAAAAAGTTGCAAAAATCAAAATCAGTTCATTCTCAAGACCCCCCCTTTTTCTCCTCAAAAGATCAAAATTAGAAAAGGGGGGAAAAAAAGAAAAGACCACACAGTTCACACATACCCCTTAAAACCCAGAAGCCAACCAGTTCTTTAAATGCCTCAAGCTCCAATCTTTAACGCTTGAATCAGAGAATCACAGAGAATAAAACAAGTTCAGAATCGATAAAGATTCAAAGACGGAACACCGAATCAGTGTTTCTCTCTTACCCAGTAGAAGAAAAAGAAGAAAGAGCATGAAGACTGAAGAAGAGTGAGTAACCCCCACAAACACACACACCCACACACAACCACACTGGCATTAACAATTCACTCACTACTCACCCTCATATACTATGGGGTCTCCGTGGAGCAGTGGGTTTAATTTTGAAAATCGAATGCACAGCTGTTAAAAAATCACACATTTGAGGCAAAATATTATCCTTAATTCTCGAAAACCATAACTGCTTCTTGCTCACGAAATTACAGATTCGCCCCTGTGATAGTATATTATTTTATATGATGGTTTGATTAATAAACAGATAACCTTATTGTTAAATTAGATTTTGAATTGGATTATATAAGCGGATAAACCGATGCTGCTTGTGCTAATTTTAGCAATTAATTATCCTCTTAACACTGCAATCGCTCTTAACACTGCAACAGGTCGGCAATATATATATTTATCTTCAGCAACACAAACGTGGATTTTCCTTTGTCTTCTTCATTTTTTTTAATTTTTTTAAATTATAAGATGGGGCCTACTTGAATCTGTACCACTAGACGTGATTCTGAGCCTCACACCTCGAATTTTGCTGACCAGTTCAATATATTAATATACATGTACGTAATAAAATTTATCAAGAAAATCACGTTTTTTTTAATTTATAAATATTACATGTCATTTTTCAAATCATATATAACAATATAAAAGAATATATATAGTTTGTTAAGATAATATCGGTTCTATAAAAATATAAATAGATGAGTTAATACTCTTTTCATAAGGTTGAGAGCGTGAATGAGATAATTTTACTAAATACATACACGCACTAATAAAATCATTGTTTCTATACTGGATGTTAAATTTCAGATTTTTTTTGCTAAAAATATACTTTTGGCCCTTTAATTTTTATCTAAAATTTTAATTTAGTTCCTTAAAATATCTATTTAATCATCTAATCCTAACATTGTCAGCTAAAAATGATTACTTTTGAGTCAATCATTGTTAATTAAGCAAAATTTAACTTAATATGTTAATATTTAAAAATATTTTGTTAATATTTAAAAGTTCATTGTAAACAAAAATTATTGATGAAACTAATGACGTTAGGGTTAAATAATTAAAAAAATACTTTATAAAATTAAAAGACTAAAATGAAATATTATCATTAGCTAAAAATAATTACTTTTTATGTCATTCATTGTTAATTAAGCAAAATTTAATAATATTTGAAAGTATTTTATTAATATATAAAATTTTATTGGAGGAATTTTTTATTAATGAAATTAATAGTGTTAGGATTAAAGAATTCAGAAAACACTTTATAAAATTAAAGGATCAAAATAAAATGTTATATAAAGTTAAGGAATTAAAGATGCACCCTAACCAAATTTTTTTAATATAGTATGGGAAAATTAATCATTTTTATTTTTATAGTTTTAACTTAGTTATAATTTAATATTTAAATTTTAACTTATTGTAACCTATTTTTTATAGTTTTAACTTAGTTATAACTCAATTTTTTAGTCCTCATATTTTTTAAAAAATAAAATTATAAATATTAAAATTATGTCAAAATTTATGAATAATATTTTAAATTACTAAAACTTTTAATCTTTGTAAAAATTATAAAGATTAAATTTTAAAATGATTTTAATCTTTTTAATTTTATTTTTTAAAATATAAAGGCTAATATTTTAAATGCATAAAATTACAGGGACTGAGTTATAAAAGTTAAAATTTAAAAATTAAATTATAATTGAGTTAAAATTATATGAATTAAGTATAATGAGTTAAAACTTAAGAATTGAGTTGCAGTTTGATCAAAACTATAAAGATTAAATAATTATGTTTTTCAATACAACATTATGAGATACAATTGTTAAGAAAACAATAAGTAAATTCTTGAAATACATAGTATAATATATTTAAAGAGTTACTTACAAAAATTTTGTATTCAATACATAGTAAATTTTTGTAATTTTACATAGTATCATATATTTAATGCATAGTAAATTTAAGGAGTATATATTATCAGCGGAACCTATTTCCTATACTTAAAAAGATTAGCTATATATTTTATGAAAAAGGAAAGAGTTATATGATTTCTTAAATATATAAGAATCAAACAATAATAAAAATATTTTTTAATAAATAAAAGAGCAGCCTATAAGCTGCCAGAGCTTAAACAGTCATGATCTAGCAGTCTTTTAATCTCATGAGTATTACTAAATTGTTGAAAACCAGGTCCATGCCAAAGTGCAATAATAAAAATATTTAAATACACTAAATGTACTATATTCTATTTTTTTAGTCAAAATATAGTATATTCTTATAAAACTAAATCCTACTGCATATGGTGGAATATTTAGATGCAAACATGCGTGTGCATCTATACATAAATCAAATTTTGACAATTGATTATAAAAAAAAATTAATTTGATTTTACCAATGGGTTTGGATTTAGTGAAAGGGAGTAATTTTTCATAATGTAGCAAATCAATGTTCAAATCTTCATTTGAAAAAGTGCCAACATAATTTAGTATCTAATTGTACATTAAATAAAATTACCTCCAATACAATAAAAAATTGATTAGATTTTTATAAAATTAAAGTTACATGTAAATTATGTTATTTTTTCAAAAAACTTGGCACTGAAATTTTGAATTTTTACAAATAATTCATCAGTTTTTAATAAATTTATTATTCCATTGATAGGAGTAGAACATATTATTAGTGAAAGTATTTCATATTATTTTATGCACAAATAAAATTTTAAAAATTTTGGATTATATGTAGATGATTCGTTTAATTACATTTTAAATCACTTGAAGATAACTCTCAAATATGTTTACTTTTAATTGTAGAGTAATAAAGGAACCCATTAAATTTATCTCTTCAAATAAAACTATAAAAATGATACTTTTCCCCAAAAAACAAAAATGCAAACGACTTGAATATTTAAAAGAGATGCGTGCGCGTGCGTGTAGATTATATATGTTGCTAAATGTGTGTTCATACACAGGCGAACACTTATTTTTGTCTTTAACAATTTAATTTTTTTGACGACAATCTTTAACAATTTAATGCATGCATATACCTACATACAATTATTGCATTAACACATACTCCTTTAGTCTTACTTATATAGCAGAGAGAAAAGAAAAAATGCAATCTTATTTATAGAGCATTTATCAATTTTTTAATATTTTCCTTTACATTTTTATCCTTCTTAAATGTTTTGAATAAAAATATTAATAATGAGATTTAAGAATATTTATTATGAATAAAGATAAAACTTGTTAAATTTTAAGTTAAAGTTAATAAAATTTTTAAATTTTTTATAATTTTAATAAAATATATTAAAAGTGGTTTATAAATAAAATTATAAAAATTATTTGAATTGGTGACCTTTTTCAATGAGAAAAAGTTTTTGCAGCATCTTGACGAATGATCGTTAATTGATGACGAAGACATACACATAAATATTGTGAAACAAATGAATTTATTTGGAGGGAGCACAGTACAACAGGACGCTATATGCAACCTAAAAGGCTAATTAAGTTCAACAAATCTATACAGTCACATGACGCGGCCACGATGTCTGTGGTGGATATATAATCAATTCATATCATAAGAGACTAAATTCTTCTGTTAAATCTAAACATATTGATGTGTTTAATATATATATATATATATATATAATATATATGCTAACGATGGCCTGGGAGCATTTGGATTTTAAAACAAAGCCTTCAGAAGAAAAGGCAACCATGAAATTTCCAAACCACATTTTGCAGCTTTTTTTCTTTTTCTTTTTCTTTTTCTTTCCTTCTTTTTGTGATATTTTTCTTTCAATGTGTGTATAACTGCAGGGGGCCAACTCTTTTTTTTAAAATAAATAAATAAATGTATTTTACTTTTTTAACTTTTTAAATATTTATTATAATTATTTTTAAAGTAATTTAATAGTTTTTTTACCAAGATAATTTAACAAGTTGAAATATATTATTAGATGATCATGAATTAGTATAATTACATAAGCATTTCAAGAAAATGAAAACAAAAAACAAGACACCGTATCTAACATATTAATTTTTTAAAAAAATTATATAGAATATATAAACATGTTTATATTATAAGTACGTTCTCATTTGTCATGTATTAATGTTTTGGTCCCCTTTTTTTTGGGTCATTTTTTAATAATTTTTCATCTTTTAGGTAAATTTTAATGTCTTTTTGTCATTTTCTTCTTGATCAACAATTAAAGTTAATTTTTATTAACAACAGGGATTAAATTGTGACATTTTTAAACTTTAAGATAATAATTTATATAATAAACAACTTCAAAATTTATAATATTATTACATCTCATATTTAGGGGGATAGCTTACTCATTTACCTTTTTTTTTTTTTTGGAACAAGAAGGCAAGCAAAAGCTTGAAAATACAAGAAAAATTACAGAAACACTGAAAAGAAAGGCTAAAGCCTAAGCATCTATCAAATGTTGTAAATCACTTTGAAACAGCCCCACGCAATAATCAAAATTGCAGGTAACACAGTTGTATCAAAAATATCATCATGTGCACTTTTAGCAATGATATGAGCACATCCTAGGACCCCTTTGAGAACAATGAAAGATCTCAATTTTCCAATCATAGAAGAGAAGCTCCCTAATTTCAACAATTTCTATGTGCAATAGGTGGTCAGGATCATGCTCTCTCTAAAGATAGTTGAGGGCTTTTAGTGAATCAGTAAACAATTAGATTTTTTTGAAATTGTAGAGCTTATCAATTTCTAGCCCAGTCTTGATAGCAAGTATTTTCATAGCTGTTGAGAGATAGGATCCTAAATTCTTCTTGAAATTTAGTATCCAATCTCCCTTGTTGTACTGACGCAAATGACACAATACAGTGTGTTATATAAATGATGAAAGCTGAAGGGGCACGACCCCAGCGGACTAAGGTGGTTCCATTCCAAATATGAATATGTATAATTTTGGAGACACAAGTAGCTGCACGTGTGCACAAACATGTTAATATTAAGGTCAATTTTGGAACTTTCTTTAAGTGAGGGAGGTGTTGCTACAGTGGAATAGCTTGCTACA